TCTCAATACTACGTACGCCTTTTCCGCCATACCGGCGCCATGCCGTCTCACCACCCCCAGCCTGCAACAAAGGAAGATGATAACGTAACCGTGTGGTAGTCTGCCCCGCTATATAAAAGTAACGCCAAATAGGGATATGAGGTATCGTGCAACGAAGCCAGAACAAAAAAGAGATAGATGACGACGATAGCAGATGAATGTGCAATCATAATGTTTGAACAGCAAACAAAAGCAATGTCGTTATAAAAAATGCAGTCCGCTCCGGGATAAAATGGGTATATGTGGTGTAGATAGTTCCGAGATGCGATGTGGTGTGGATGCGACGTGTTGTAGATGGTGTGGATGGTGTGGATGTGGTGTGTGTGATCAGATGCGCACAAAGTTGGTGGTGCTCGCGGCGGCTTGGTAGTTTTGTGCTGGAGGTAGGGAGGGCAACGAGGGCAGGGATAGACGCCCGGCTGTAGTCAAAGGCCTGCACTTAGCTTATCTGATCTCAACATGAAAGATGAAGATAAGAAAAGCTGCGCGCTAGGGATGGGTGGGTAAGTAGGAGAGAAGCACTAACGCTCTCGGAACCATCTTGCGATCCTGCTCTTCTCGTCGGCTCTGCCCGCCTCGAGATGGGTGCTGCGCTCGTAGAGTTCCTGAATAATGTCAGCATACTGGAGATCCCATCAGTGATGGAGACTTACTTCGTCGTCTTTGTTGATCTTGATGTCCAAGATCAGATTCCGAATCTCTTCGCACCGCTGCCAGTTCGGGTACGGAGTACCCTGCGCGCGTTGTACTCCGACGATGACTTCGCCCATGATCTCAAACTTCCGCCAGTTGATCCGTTCCTTGCCGACAACTCCGCCTGGCGGTGGCTCTCGGCTGTCGCGTTTCCCTACGACGCTTTCCAAGACGCTGACGCCTGGGTGGGGTGCGAACGCGGAGTCTGTCTTCTTCTTGTCCCCGACGAAGGTCGAGTTGCCTTCCGAAGCCGATACGAGGTCGCGGCGGTGTAGTGGGATATATGGTATGCGCTCCCCAGAGCTATTCTCCCACGCCAGTCGGTATGCAGAGTGCGACTTAGTCTGGCCCATGAGGATGTCGAGCTTCCAGAAGTCCTGGTTGGTGGCCTGAGGGACCAGCTCCCGAGTTGCTACCAGTCGTCCGATTGCGGTGCCGTTGATGCCTGCCATTACGGCACCTAGCATGTTGTAGTTGTTGAGTTTCCGAAGTTGTCGTGCAATCTTCATCCACTTCTCCATCATGAGCGCCCTGTGCTTGGGCTTGTCGCGCAGGAGGATGTAGTTGGTGACGAGGTAGGCGACGTGGTTGAAGTGCTCGGTCATGCGTGTAACGTTTTCGAGATTCTTGCACCGCTTCTTCTCTTCGGCATTCAAGCTGACGTGACGTACAAGATCGCGTGGTCGTACCGACGAGAACATGATCCAGTCTATCCGGGTGAGTTCCTTTGCGATGGCTTCGTCCGATTCGCCCATGAGCTGGTGCCACTGAATCTTGGACATGGGCTTGATTGGGTTTGGTTCCAGTTGTCGAGCGAGTCGCTCGTTCTTCTCAACTTGGGTAAGCAGGATCTGCGATGAGCCCATGGAGCCGTTGGTGGATGAAGCGCCACCGGTTACGCTACTACGGGCAACCGAATTCCGTGCCGAACTGCTCATGGACATGTGGCCGAGTGCTCTTGAGAACTCGTCCTCGTCGGAGTCTTCGTCCAGGACGTTGTTGTGGAATGTCGGTATGTTCTCGTTCTGGGCTCGTTGGCGGTCGCTGCATGCCCAGTCGGTGTCGTCGTCCTCGGTGACCATTTCAAGATCGCGAATAATCTCCGTTGCGGCGACGGAGAACTCCCGGTTCAAGGCCAACGACGATGCAAACCTTCGAATGAGTCGGCGTGTGGTAGGGTAGGCAAAGTCACCGGGATAGTAGGCCACCCAGTGTTGCAATATCGACAGGTAGCGGAGCTGGGCAATGATGCGGATCATGGGCAGTTCTTTGTCCTTGTTCTGCGACTCGAAGCGCTTGATGATGGCCTCTAGTAGCTGGCCCGGGGTTGCGAATCTCCGATACAGAGCCAGGAACACGGAGACGAACTTGGAGTCGTTCTTGGACATGGGCTGGGCGAGCAGTCGGTCGACCAGCTGCTCGAAGGTGTAGCCATTCTCATCCGACGGCTTCACCGACATGATGCTTTGGCCGGCGTCCGAGTCGTTATCATCAGACTCCTGGGAATCATAGCCGGGGGACTCTTCAGCGTTGAAAAAAGTTTTGTTGGTGTCGCTGGGCTTATAACGGTGGCCCTTGACCTCGCTTGAACCCCGTTGAAACCTCATGGAGATCTCCGAGCTAGCCCGCTCGTGCTTGCGGCTCCAAAGGTCCTTTTGGGTGATTGATTTCACGGCGGAAGAGTTGGCCCGGCGCCGCGCCATGGAAGCCTGGGACCTGGCTGCAGGGGGTCAGTGACTTGCACCCTGGAATGGGCATTGGGGGCATGGAGGGGCATTAGGGGCATTGGGGGGCATTGGGGGCATTGGGTATGGGCAATTGGGCGTGTAACAAAAGGAAATGAGCCACTTACGGCGCTTGGCGGCTATGGCCGCGCGAGTGATGACGGACAGGCATCCTCGGTGCGTCTCCGGGGACGACTCGGAGGTCTGAAACACGCTCACGTCTCCAATGAAGGACTTTGCTTTCTGCTCCACAACTTGCGGATCGACCTCGCGGTGGGCGGGGTGCTGATCGCACTTGCAGGCGACGAGGATAAAGGGCAGGTGAGCCTTGGACAGTGTGCCTGGACTTGGTCAGCATGTCGCGTACGAGGCGCGTCGGCTGACGCGATGGCGGGGTACGCACTCAGCATCTCCGGAACCTTGCCCAGGCTCTCGTGGTTTGTGACGTCGTAGAGGGTGACGGCGGCGTCCATGCGCGGCGTCGCGAAGTCGTGCACCGTCTCGGGCCACTTGATGATGCTGCGGTCGCCGACATGCACGTCGTTGAAGGTCATCTCGAGGAAGCGCACGACGTAGGGGGTGCCGTCGATGGTCATGCGGCGCGAGCAGGAGGTTGTCGTGGCCGTGTCGGGCAGGCCCAGGGCGCGGCGGATGAAGGTGCTCTTGCCCGAAGTCCGCGCGCCGATGACGGCGATGTTGAGGTCCTGCATGGTTGATGCCGAGTCGCTGGTGGACTACGATATGTGAGTTACTGCGGTATTGCCAACACATCATCCTCCCCGTATCAACCTTGGAATATACTCACGCTCGAAGGCTCCGACGCATCCAGGGCCTGGCGGTCCTTGTGGTGGGTGGGCGAGAGGGGCCCCTCGGTGTCGGACGACGACTCGGCGCTGCTGTCGCCCTCCTCGTGCTGGGTGGAGAGGGTGGTGGGCTGGGGGAAGTGGTAGCGCTGGAAGAAGGCATCGTCGGCAATCTCATCCGCCTCGCTGGCCTCGTCGGTGCGGTCGAGCTCGCTCTGGCCGTCGGTGTCGCTCTTGGGCACGTTGGGAGCCGAGTATGCGCGCGTCTTGATCCCCGGCCGCTGGGCTGAGGTGCCCGCGCTGCTCTCTCTGCGCGGCGGCTGGGCGGCCTGTGCCATCTTGCCCTTGTCTGTCGGCTTCGAGGGCGGCGCGTGGACGGCCCTGCTGCCTCCCGTGGCGGGCATGGTAAAGGCGCTCACAGCGAGGGCGGGCCCAGGTCAAGGCGTGTGCGACGGCTGGCGGCCAGGCGCAATGGGGACATTGGGGGATTGAAGGCGCTGGGGGCAGGCAGAGGGCGGGCTGGGGTTCAGCGGTACCTAGGTAGGCGGTCGTGATGGTACGTCGTGTGTACGTCGTATGTACTGGTATGCAGTATTTCAGCGGGGAGAAGTCGAGTTCATGGCAGCCAACGGGGCCTAGCTCGCCTGCGCCAGACGATGCGCCCGCGTCGCTAACCAGCTAGCCTGCATCCCACCCTCTCCACACGACGCCTGAGACGCCTGAATCGCTGCATCCAAACCCCTTGGCTGATCGCATGCCCTTTCAGATGTCGCCCTCAGATGTCCACCCACAACCATCCACCCCAACCATCCACGACCTGGCTAGCTGCCCGGCCTCTGCGGCCCGCCTGTCACCCTTCATCTCGTCTCGCTCCGCCGCACATGCTTGGACACCTGCCCGCCAATCATCGGCCCTTCTGCCAACCCGTTTGCCCTTCCGATTGGCACAAACCGCCAACCTTATCGTCTCATACCACCTTGGAAGCTCCAACTCTGACTCCATCGGCTCCAAAACTTCCGCCGCCCTTAGCTCCTGCTCTCCAAACTCTCATCGCTGCTGCTGATCGCCATGATCGCCAGCTACCTTCGTGTTCTGCTGTTCGCTCCCCCACATCCCCTTCGAGTCATATCAGTAAACAGCCTGGAGCTTAACATACGACATTGTATTGCTAACTTCCACTCTTGTACCAATCTAGCCTGCAGCGCGTCTATTCAATTTCTTCCTTGCTCAAACGGGGCGGGGTCTTTACTTCTCCCCCCAGCTCAGCGCTGTGGTTGGACGAGGCGGCGAACCACAGTGCTCCGCGCTTGTACCAAACGCGCACGTAGCTGACGCCGCAATAGAACCCGCAGCTAATGCAATGTCGTGCACCCAGAGCCCTCGTCACATCCGACAACACCCTGTCTGATGCAACCCTCCACCACTTTGGAACCGCCTGCAGAAAGCTGCCTCTCAGCAATTCATCACATTCGCCGAGTAGAGGCACAGCTCAAGTCACAATGCCCTTTTCAGCTTGACAAACTTCTTTCAGAAAGCCCTGTCCCCCTTTGCACCTCGGCACCCACTAGCTCATACTATATTGATCTGCGCCCAGGTGCCATATCTCCGACTGATCGGCGCTCAATTACACGTGTGCAAGTCCAGAGCACGATCAACGGTCGGCTGATCCCTTCGTCGTCTTCGCACAATCTATGAAATGACTCGACAACCCCAGCAGCTCCCATGTCCGACACAACACTTATCACGCACTTACAGGTCGCATGTGTGCCTGCAAATGGTCTTCATGGTAGAAGGGCAAGAACACATCCCGCCACACCAGCTGTTCAGGCCTGATCGTCATTAGTACGGCATACGAGCAAGAAACTTCAGTCGACTTACAGTTTCCCCTTGGGCTCCATGTCAAATTTGCGGAAGACATGGCCGAAGCCGAGGCGCAACTCCGCCCAAGCCAGGCTGCGAAAAGTTACCACGTTAGCTTCGGATCTCACTTGAAGTTACCGAGATCAGACTTACTTGATTCCCAGGCACATACGTGGGCCGCGCGAGAAGGCGACGAGCCACTTGTCCAAATCCGCAGATTCATCGAGCCAGCGCTCGGGAACAAACTCCTCTGGCTTTGGGAAGATATCGGCGTTGAAGTGGACGAATGTGCTCCCACACGATACAATGGTCTAGCACGCAATCAGCACGCGTCTTAGCCTAGAGCAAAATGCAGACATACCTGCGGCGGCACTTCTACTCCCGCTATCGTTGCACCGGCTGCGGGAACGATGCGCAAAAGGCCCGCGGTAACTCCCGATGAGAGTCTGAGCGACTCCTTGATGACCGCGGTCAGATACGGTACCCTTTCGAGATCGCGGACCGTAGGCTCGTTTCCGATGAGAGATGGCCATGCCGCGGATAGTTCCGACTTGAGCTTTTGCATCTTGTCAGGGTGCTTGAGCAGGTGAAAAGCGCCGACCATGAGGGTATTGCCGACGGTGTCTGTGCCACCAAACATGAGCGCTTGGGCCTCTTCATACAGGCTCTCAGCCGATGGAATCTGCTTGTCGCGATGCGCTTCCGGGTCCATTAGCCGATGGTAGATGGTCATGTTGTGAGGGAGAAGTTTGAGTTTCTCTGGGTCGTCAGTGAGCTCGTTGATCTGCTGCGAGAGTAGCTTCAACATGTCAGTAGGCCGCTGCCCCAGCGAGCGAGGGACATACCTGGTTTAGATCGATCATGCCCGCTGTCAACGGGCTAAGCTTCTTGGACAGATTGGGCGGACATTTCAAAATGAAGTTCTTGAACAAATCAGAATACTTGAAGTACATAGCAACGGGGGTCGCCGCATCAAGAGCCACGACAATAGGCGCCTTGAAGTCAGGCTCATCCACCGCGTGGATGGATTTGCCAAAGCAAAAGGTCGTAATGACATCTATACTCATGCAGCGGAATGCGTAAAACAGATCAACACTTGCGGAAGCCTTGCTCTGCCGCTCGAAGGCTGCACAGAGAGCCTTGGTCTTTTCAATCAACAGACCCTCGGAGCTCTCGATGGCAGCCGGCGAGAAGGAGCGATTGAGCACATCCTTGCGGTTCTTGGCCTCGGCATACGTGAGATAGCCGAAGCTAGATCTGTCCTCGTTAAAGCTCTGGTAGAGCGTCGCTTCCTTGTCCCAGCGATTCTTGTTGTTGTAGATGTCGTGGTAGGCTTGGGGGTTGGCAAAGTGGAGCTAGGCCATGGTGGTTAGCGACACGTGGTGGCACAAGAGTGGGGTTCACTGCATTCTCGCGATGCTTCACACACCTCGTTGGGTCCAATACGAACAACGTCGCCTATCGTCGCGCACCACACGGGTCAGCGTTGCACATTTGTGTACTGCGTGCCTGGTCCCTCGTACCGTATTGCGCATGCAGCTCGACCAGGAAGTGGCAAAAGGACCGGTTTGCGATGCACTCAATATACGCTTTCCAGTATGTCGTAGCGCCGGCGAGAGGCGGTCCCGGAAACTTGGCCAGCGGATGGAAGTAGACGTTGTCGGTCACTGCGTACAGCACGTAGGCCAGCAGGGCTGTCAGTCCCGCGGACAGCAGTACCGCTGCGCTGGGTAAGGACTCGACGATCGGCATTGATTGGTGGGACAGTTCGCCGGGCGCTGTGAGGATAGTAGGAGGATGAAGTTGACCTCAATGGTCGCGCGCAGTTCTCGCAGACGAGTCGACGACGGCATCCGCCATCCCCACTTCATTAAGGACAACTCTCCATATTGCGGACGACCGCGGCCAACCGGAGCACCTGGCTGATAGCGCTGGTGTCTGGCCGGTCGACTGTCTGCATGCGTGCATGTCGCCGGCGTAGAGCCGCGGTCACACGGCTGTCGGGAGCGAAAGGCAGTAGTTCGAGCTGCTGGCCTGAACGTTGCAATCGGTACAAAAGGTCACGCTAAGTGGTGGCAGGGCGACCCTCTCGTTCGCACTGTTCCGATACCTGCAAACCCCTCGCTGCGACAATCATCCATCTTGCGCCTCATAAAACATGGCCGACATTGGAGCCCAGATCGCTCATGTAAGCCGTGTCCCCATGCGAACGATCGTCGTGTTGCTAACACCAGCGTCCAGGACTCGGACGAAACCGACTCGGCATTTGGCGACGATTCGGCATCGTAAGTTTCCCAGGATGACGAACTCGCCAACCAGCCGCCTTCTGACACGGACCGAAGCGAGACGACGTCCCTGAAATCGGCCGTATACAACTACAAGTACCGCAACGGCCGGCGATACCATGCATACAAGGAAGGATCATACTGTGGGCTGCCCGCTCGTTCCATGCCAATGCTGTTCCTAAGTGAGCACAGGGGGGCCGAATGATGAGACTTCGGCAGACCAGCTCGATATTGTGTATGGCATGCGACCCATTTGGCGAAGGACTCGTGTTGACTGGATTGGGTAGCCACCATATCTGCCTCCTCTTACTCGATGGCGAGCTGTTCCTGGCACCCATATCGAAACAGCCCATGGTACGTTTGGAGCCAGACAAGACACCATGGCTGTTGGCTTCGGGCTGACAATCGGGTACTCTAGCACGTCTTGGATCTGGGGACTGGCACCGGTATGCAAGGAACACCCTGATCGACGAACGCATAAGCTGACCAGTCAGGAATCTGGGCTATGTCAGTCTCACGTTCTCGCATCTCGACCGACAGACTGACGCGAAACCAACAGCGACTTTGCGGATAGATACCCATCGGCCGAGGTACGTGCAAATATGCGACGAAGAGTCCGCGAGACCATTCTAACAGAGTCAGGTGCTCGGCACCGACCTCAGTCCCACCCAACCCTCCATGGTCCCGCCGAACGTCCGCTTCGAAATCGACGACTTCACCGAGCCATGGCTCTACAAGAAAGACCACTTCGACTTCATCCACATCCGCTCCCTCTTCGGCTGCGTAGCCGACTGGCCCGCCTTCTACAAAGAGTGCTATGAGTACGTCTCCACACCCCCACACCTCAGAAACAGCACCCATACTAACCCCGCGCCTCAAGCCATCTCCAACCCGGCGGCTACATCGAACAACTCGAATTCAGCGTCGTCCCCAAATCCGACGACGGCACCGTAACCCCCGGCTCCATCTACGACCGCTGGGGCAAGCTCTCCCTCGAACTCGGCGACCGCTTCGGAAAGTCGCTGCGCACCGCCGACGAACAGCGCGCAGGCATAGAAGCCGCAGGGTTTATAAACGTTGTTGAGCATCGCTGGAAGTTGCCGGTTGGTGGCTGGCCGGCGGATAAGCGGTTCAAGGAGCTGGGGCAGTATAACAGGATTAATTGGGAGCAGGGGATTGAGGGGTGGAGTTTGTATCTGCTTACGACTATTATGGGGTGGACGAAGCAGGAGGTTGAGGTTTATCTTGCGCATATGAGGACGGCGTTGAGGACGAGGGGGATTCATGCTTATCAGGAAGTGTAAGTTGCGCAGTTTTGACGAATGGTTTTTTACAATACTGATAAACACTTAGGTCGCTGGTCTACGGACAGAAGCCACCGCGGCCAAGGAAGAATGATGATGAATGAGATGGCATGATCAAAAGTAACTGATGAAGAAAATCGAAACGCAATTATATTGTCGCACATGCTTTCCACTTCCGCGTGAATCTGAGGAGTCTGCTTCGATCTCCAACGCCTTCTTGACAGCGTCGCAATCTTTCCTTCGTCCAGCGTTGCGCGCACACGAAGATTGGTGTGGCGCATGCGTACCTGACATGTTCGTCACTCTACTCAGATCTGAGGCGCGACACACTACTGCGACACGATCCGGCTTTCTCTCGACATCATTCATTCTCTATACGTTGCCGCGACGTAAACTGCGTTCAAGCTGATCTGGATCTCGAGATTCTGTGGAGAATTATTGCAAGAGACTCTTTCGACAAGGCTGTATGTCTGCGACACTTCACGCTGTCACATGTAGCCCATGACAGAAAAGAGCTCATACCGTAAGCCCGGTGGTTGATCAGCGCGACCGATCATATATCTATTCGGAGACTGATAAGATCACGAACGTGAGGAATTCAATAGCAAACACACTGTTCTAAGTATACAACAGTCGCGGGGCGAAGTGCTGGTGGCGTGTACGCAGTAGGCTAGGCGGTCACTAGTGTTCCTCAGCCTTGCTTGCTGAATCTCCTCGCAACAGTACACTTTTGAACTGTCTTCATCTTCTACACTCCCCTTACCCGCAGTTTGTTCTTTTCACTTTCGAGGAACGTTTGCACGTACTTTAGTAACAGATCTACCCCCCTACTCTTATACTATCTCGAGGTCCTGCACTACCCACATTCCAGCCCTGCACGCTCAGTGTACCTCCAACAATGTCCAATGCGGTCTTACGTGTAGAAGAGGCCGACTATAACCTATCAGATAAGCAGGCTGTGTACGAAAGGCATGCTCTTGACGCACATACGAAGACTATACGCGTTCTTGACGTGCGAGCGATCCCCCAAGATGCCATCGAAGGCACACCGGTCGAGTGCACTTTACGCATCATCAATCTGGACGCTGACCCCGCGTTCACAGCCTTATCATACGTATGGGGCAACCCAACACCTAAGCGCAGCATTATATGTGACGGCGTTGTATTCGATGTTGGCGAAAATTGTTACTCAGCCTTGTGGCACCTGAGTAAGAAGCTTGGGGGTCTAGTGATCTGGGTGGACGCGATTTGCATCGACCAAGAAGACGTGAGGAAAGAGAAGACGTGGCAGATTCCTCTCATGGGGGATATCTACACCAAGGCTAAGCAAGTGTATGTCTGGCTGGGTGAGGGTGATGAGCGCTCCGAACGCGCCATGAGATACCTGGCGGACGGCGGCCTGAAGAAATATGTCAACGTCGTGCCGGATAGACCACCGCAATATCGACCCTATCTTGCAGCGCTACGTCTTGGTCTTTCCAGGTGGAGTCTCACGTACCACCCGGAACCATTTCGGGGTAAGTGCACATCTATTTACCAAGTATATCAAAATAACACTTGGAGGGAACAATTCGCCTCTATTGGCGACGTTCACTCGCAGGGTGCAATACGTCTCAGGGGCAGATCTCGTCTGCCTTTTCGACCGGCCGTGGAAGGATCGGCTGTGGACTTACCAAGAGATCCTGCTGGCTTCATACCCAGTGATTGTGTGTGGAACCGAACACGTTCAGTGGTCCGATTTCGAGTGGACATTTTTGTTTCTACGATCTTCGTTCAGACACTTTCCCAGGGCAGCCGTCGCATGGGAGGCAATCGTCTTTGACAGGGGGCAACTGCAATCATTTAATCGACCGACGGAACGTAGCGTGCTCCACACTCTCCAAGAGCATGAAACCATCGTTAGGAAAATTATCTTGACACGCCGATGGCTGTTGAGTACAGCGATTGGTTTGCTCTTGGCATACACAACGACAACTCTGTTGGTCGGTGTTGTGTCTGTCTGCTCTCGAAAGTATCCAAAGTGGAGAGTACATTTTGTACTTGCGCGTAGGACTGAGAATGCGTTCATGTACATCGGCATTTTCGGGGTTTTCCTTTGTATCATGTTCATCTGCTTCGAGCTGCGCCCCGAATATCAGACCTATCGGGGCGATATCAAGGAGACTGCGTCCGACGACTTGGTGGGTGCGCTGTACCAGAGAGCAGCTACTGATCCAAGAGACATGGCATACGGTATCTGGGCCATCTTAGGCAAGCGTGGAGTGATTGACCTTTCGGCGCAGATATATGACGTCGCAAAGGAGGCACAGATACCCTTACTCTACCGACAACTCACCATTCATCTATTCCAGACGACTGGTAACCTAAGGTTCCTGCACATCGCTGCTGCGCGACGGCTACCAGGTACCCCATCGTGGATTCCAGATTGGTCTACCTTCAATAGCAACACTTGGCGCGACGTACCAGGATATCCAGGAACCGATCTTCATGGAATAGCTGTAAGGCATCCACCAGGGTCAGAGGACAGACTCCGCATGCTCCGTGCTCGGCAGAACTTGTCTGTAGACTCTACTCAAAACGTGCTCACGGTGCTTGCTCGGGAAGCTGGTACCGTTCGCGGTTGTGTTTCCTTCTACCCGATAAGGGCGATAGCGTTAGAGGCAGATGAGCCTCAACTCCCGAGGTGGAATTCCCTTCGCCATCACTTGATAGGTGGATTCAGGCATCGTTCATGTCGTGTATATCGCGGGATAGAGACAGACGAACGACGTGCGCATGTGGAAAACCTACGAAGCATGCTTCAATGGGCAGACTGGGCGCAAACTATTGGCTGCAAGATCCATGCTATCTTTTATGCGCAGCCAACACTTGAGGAGCTCTTCCCAATCAGCGCCAAGGCTGCATGGCCAAGCCAAAAAGATCGAACCAACTGGGGCAAGACCTTTTCCGGGTCGAGAAGAGACAAACTTGAAGGATACCTTACTCTCTGGATGGATGGCACCAAGACTCCAAGGTGGTTCCAGAAGTTCATGGCAACTCAAAACTGTTTGTGTACCTTCATCGCTGAGCTTGAGCGGAAGATTTGCTATGTGAGCAGCTCGGTCAATCCTGGAACGTTCTGCCTCTTAGCCTGTTCAGACAAGACAAAAATTGACGATCGAGCCTTGCTGGTGTGTGGGTTACCGGGTTGGATAATCGTGCGCAAGCGCGAAGAGTCGGAAAATGCGGTCGAGATTATCAGCCCTCAAATCCTTCAAGGTATAGCTGCGATTGGCAAATCTAGGAACTTGATCAATAGAGACGACGCTGCGCTCGATGACCTTTTTGTCGAGTATCATATTCATTGAGGGAAAAGCGGCTTGGAGTCTACTTAGCATTAGGGCACGAATGACAGTCTCTTTGGGCGTACCGAAAAATGTCCCAGTGAACTGCATCCTCTCGTACTACTATTGCGCAACTTGTCACCTACCTGTGTAAAATATCGGCGTGACGGGCGTGCAAGACAGCGAGAAAGTCTGAATGCTAGAAATGAGGCCTTGACTATAACATATAAATATGACATAGAAGCTGAGAGACATGAGTGCAGAGCAGGATAATGAGAAGTCGCTCTTTGAGACGTCAAAGTCAGGTTTGTGGAAAGGTCTTGGGTGGGAACAGCCGATGGCGGCCGGCCGATGCACAACAAGCACCGCCGCTAAAATTCTCGCCGAACGTTAAGATCTGGTTTGACAACACCATACATCACTCAGGAGACTCAATAGTACATTACTCACCCAGCTCACCAACCATTCGCGCCATACCTTCATTGCCCGGGCGTTATCTTTCTTATCTCGAGGATTTGTTATTAGTGGGTCAAGACGCAACATCCGACGGAAGCAGAGTTCCGGAGCGCAAAATGTGCCGACAGGCAATACCTACCATTGTATCGACGCAGCAGATGTGATGCGACAACTACAGAGACGATGAAAGCAGTATTCGCGTGCCCTCCGACATTTTGGTATCGGGAAGTCTTGACCAGCCAGCTCACAGATAGCTGGGACGCGAAAGCCAACACAGTGCGATGACCTTTCCGAAGATGGCTTTGCGGAGCAAAAAAGAAGTCTGTGTATCAAATGTCGATCGCCGCAAGTCCAGCAAGGGGAGGGATTGATGTTTGCGAGAAGGAGGGTGTAGGAGAATACAATTGTTCGAGAAGTCGAAGCATGCCCAAAGTACCCAGGTACAGTAGACGGCAAGTATTGACGCGGAAGGATCATGATCCCTCACACACTAGTATAATTGCGCAAGAGAGCCCTGAAGCGATCCGATGAAGTCTTCCGTCGGATCTTCCGTGTCGGCTACGTATCGCTTATTGACGTTACACAGACATCCTCTCGCTACGCAACTTCGCCAACTTCCAACTTCGGTCATGAGCAGCAGATCTTATCACCGCAGTTTGTGTAAACTCTGCAAGATATTGGTGCCTATTACTTCCACATAGAGGTCTACAGATAAGACGATTCCGAGTTTGCAAGGTTCACATCGGCTGAGTGGCTCGAGCCGGAACGGGATGCTCCAAAGGATGAGCTGAACATGGCATTCGATACGGTATATTAGAACGAGATGATCCAATCTCATGATCCTCATACTCATCTTTCAGCCTCCTTGACACTGCTTTCCGTTGTCCAAACTATACCCAGCCTCTTAGCGATCCATCCCTCCACAAACCCAACACAAACCTTGCAACCATGGGCTCAACAGAAGCCGCCGGCTGGAGACCCCTAAGCGTAGGCATAATCGGCGGCGGCATCGGCGGCCTCTCAACAGCCATCGCACTCCGGCGCGCAGGCCACATGGTCACAATCTACGAGCGCAACGACTTCGCCGGCGAAGCAGGCGCATCCGTCTCCTGCGCCGCCAACGGCACCCGCTGGCTCCATGAATGGGGTGTCGATGTAGAGAAGGGCGATCCTGTTGTGTTGAAGAAGCTCATCAACCGGGACTGGACGACGGGGGAGCCGGTTAGCGTTTACGATCTTGATGACTATGAGGAGCGGTGGGGTTATGTGTATAATATGTTTCATCGGCAGTATATGCATAGGATGCTAATGGAGTGTGCGCTGCAGGAGGAGGGTGAGGGGATGCCGGTGAAGTTGCTGGTGAACCATCCGGTAAGATACGATCTCTCTCGTCTCGTGACTATGCTAACGAGAGGTCGCAGTGCCAAAGTATACACCTCCCAACCAACCAAATCACCTTCTCCAACAACACCACCGTCCGCCACGACCTCATCATCGGCGCCGACGGCATCGGCTCCGTCACTCGCAAGATCATTGGCCTGAACCCGGAGAAACGCCCCGCAGAATCCAGCTGCCTGCACGCCAACGTTCTTCGAAAAGACATCCATAAACTCGGCCTCGAAGACTACTCTCTCAACAGCGCACTAGAGTACTGGGGCGGCCAGGAAGGCAAGTGGGACAAGATCGTCCTCTCCCCTTGCAACGGTGGCGAACTTCTCTCATATTACTGCTTCTTCCCGCGCGAGAAAGGCGACTATGCGAATCAGACGTGGGGAGGCGCCGATTTGCCCGTCGAAGAACTGCTTGCTCCGTACCCTGAGCTCGATGAGAAGGTCAAGGCTCATCTTGCTATTGGGATTGAGGTAAGGCCGTGGCGGCTTTGGGTTCATCAGCCTTATCCGTATGTTGTCAAGGACTGTGTCGCGTTGATTGGCGATGCTGCACATCCGGTAAGAGACTATCCTCCCTACATAATCCCATTCTTATGTATATTGAAACTGATATTCGTGTCGAAGATGATGCCACATCAAAGTCAAGGAGCTTGCATGGCGATAGAAGACGCGGCTGCATTGGGCATTCTCTTCAGCAAGAACTACTTCCGGGGAGACGTGCAGGAGTCGCTCGCAGTCTACGAGAAAGTCAGACTACCTCGCGCAACAAAGGTTCAGGCTTCAGCTGCGAAAGCGGCGTCCAATATCAACGAACGCATTGGTACGTACATTGGTATCATTGACCTTTTGAAGAATGAGTATTGACGAAAATGTTTGCAGGCTTCAGCAGCAATACATCAATGGCGAACTACAAGGTAGAGGACGAGGCGAAGAAGTTGACCATTGAAGAGATGAACGCCTACGATATGTACAAGGATATCGACCAAGCTTTTGCGGAGATGGATGGAGTGGCATATACCGACAGATACGTGAGAGGGTTGCCTTTTGGGCTGCGGTTGTCGAACGGGATTCAAATTGCTGGCAATGCCAGACTGTAGGGTTGGAAGATAGGTTTGAGGACTGCATATTTGTATAGCGTCAATATACGTAATACCACATCGACATATTTCCTTCAACACTCTATTTGTTCAGCTCCTCAGCCCTCTTCTTGAGGTCCTCCTTGCTCTCCGCCTTGGGCATGTTGTCCGGAATGGCTGGGCCCTATAACTACATTAGCTTCCATTCCGATCCATGTGTATAACAACGGCACACGAATAGCATACCTTGGAATTGTGAGCTGAAGCGAGTAGGTTTCCGCCCTCGGCGTGGTTGTCGTGCGAGGATGCGGTTGAGTCGGAGGACTCCTTTGCGATCTTGTCGGTGAGGCCTGTGGGGATGACACGTCAGTCATGGTTTGAGCAAGCTGGATGGTGTGGTGAAGGGGGGAGATGAAGGTGCCACGTACTGCCAGCGGCGCCTTGCTCAATTGGGTGGTCCGGCATGTTTGTTTAGGTTGATGTGGTGACTAATTGCTTTTGTCGTCGAGGTTTCGGTCCGCCGATGTAGAGGAACCCTTTAACGTAGGCGTCTACTTTATCTTCGAGGGACTGTTCTTTCACGTCGAGGTTCTTGACGTCCTGTTCGAGTGCGGCTGTCTCGTTGACTTTGTTGTCGGGCAGGTCGCGGAGGTTGGGAAGTTTCTTGTAAAGGGCTTGTATCTCCTCAGAGTAGGCTTGCAGTTCGGCAATAGAGGGGGTTGAAGACATGGCTGGTTATGTAGGCCTGGGCGTTGTAGCAAGCGGGTAGTGCGTGATCGGTGACGTAGATGAGTGTGGCAGGCCCGCGGCTGGAAGCTGGCTGGAAGGGGAAGCTGCCGCTGGGTGGTGGGGGAGGGGCAGCCCTTGGCACCCGGGAACTTTGGTTCTGTGGACGCGGCCAGCACCGTCCAAGACTACTGTGGAGAGGTCGGTGGGTAAACAAGATATCTTGCATACTTAGGTACGTATCATGGAGCCTATGTCGGCGGCTTCTCCGTGGTAGATGCTGGAGGTGGTTGGGTCACGTGCTCGTCTATCAAGCCAGCATGTATTTCCTTCAAGAAGGATATTGCTGCACACGCAGAGATGACAAGGGACGCGTAACTGGATTGGACGTTAACGTAGGCTTCGCGTGATAGAATGCGCCGCCGGCGTACCTGACCATAAGCCAAATGAGACTGGAAGAGGTATGTTCTTTGAAGGCCTTGGAATTGAACTGCACTCCAACTGCATTGACGCTCAGTATGTCTTCGCACAACGCCTACCGAGAGATACTGAACCTACTGTAGAACATCTGCTTTGTTGTCTGTACGACAGAAGCGAGGAGACCACATAGAGCTATCTGTGGAGCGAACCGACCAGTGACGCGCCTGCCTTCCAATGTCGAACGCAGTGCGCCCGGCCGAGCAAGTTGGCACAAGTAGGCTAGGTGAAGGTTCACCTCGAAGCAGCTGATGCTGATCTTGGTCGGCAAGACAGTGACGCCTTGTATGCATGCTTGCGCTCCGTATAGGTTATCAAGAGCAGCCCATTGTGCCATGGGCTTGAACAAAGGCGCATGCCATCTGCCACCGGGCAAGCTGTGAGGGCGTAGACAGACGTATAGCATGTCATACCACCCGCTCAACAAACTCACGAGACACCAGGCGGCAATCCAGGATCGGGGTTTGTGAGTGAACGGCATCGTTGATATGGAATGGATGGAACGACATGACAACTAAGAAGACGACGTGCTCTACATATGTCAAGATCGGATATCGGATAGAAGTGCACGCCCTTTGCCGTTCTTGCCGGATGGTACTTGTTGAACGCGTTGAACGCGTAGTAGACTACAAGCTTTGGGGAAGACGATCGTGCCATGTAGCCGGAATGACATGCGACGAGATCGGGTTGTTGGTGTTCGGCGTTCTCTTGTTGATGGCATGCCGCGAGGCGTCACCAGCATTGCGTACTCCCTCTCCGCTGTCAACTCCACTCCGCGCCATATGGTTGCCAACCATGGAAAAGCTACTGCGCGCGATCGAAATGCGACGACACAATCTTGCACTCGGGTCTAAATACGATAGCGCCACGATAGGCTTTGCGGGGAAAGAGGGCATGTTGGTGCGAAACGCGGATTAGCGGCTACTCAGCCACGGCGACCGCGTCGGCATGGGTGCTTGGCCATGTCCCGCCCCTTCCAAGCTTCACGGCCGTTTCGCCTTTGGCACCCAGCGTCATTCCAGGGGACGTCAAAGCAAGCGATGCACCACCACACGACCCGGACACTCACTCCTCGCCTTATACTTCCTCCTTGATGCCGTGAACTCCTGTAGCGACATGAGGCACGTCCTGTCCCGTCGATCGTTATATCCCCATCCATAGCCATATACCCCGGCCGGCCTCTGCACCGCGAACGACTCCTGTTAAACCCGCTGGACGGAAGACACACCCAACGCGTCGCCTCTTTGGACACTCGATATCGCCATGCCGTCGCTACTCGTCCACTCGCTGTTTGCGCGCCAGAATCCGCTGGATGAGGCCAAGAACACGCTCAGCTCATGGGACAACTGCATGGCCAAGGCCTACTGCAAGTGCGTTGAATCGCCAGGCCTCAGGCTGCTTCCCCTTTGCTCACAGACAACAGATGGCCGGTTATCGTCGTGATCATCATTGGCGCCCTCATCGTCATATCCGTGGTTACTTGCATAGCGCGATGCATATGCTGCGGCGCCGAGTGCGCGTGCTGCTGCTTTAGATGCTGCACGTGCTGCTGCAGCGGCAGTGGTGGAAGAGGCCACAAGCGCGTCAAGAGCGATCCCGCCGCCCCGTATCCCACGCCATATGGAGCGCCTCCTCCTCCCATGAATCCCTACGCCCAGAACCCCTACGCCCAGGCGCATGCCGCTGCGCCGCCTCCTCCGCCCATCGACACCCGCCCGGTGAACCAGCAATATCGCTCCAACGCAATGCCGACCTTCGCGCCAGCCGCGCAGCCCGAGAGACCGCAGTTCGCGACCTTCGATTCGACACGAGCCGTCGTCAACGAAGATTCGCTTCCCGCAATGCCCACGTGGAAAGACGGGCGCGACGTCCATGTCCAAGTCGAGGAACAACCCATGCCCCAGAAGCAAGGCGACATGGAGATGGACAGGCTAGACCGCAATGGCAGTCCCATAGGGGGGTCAATGGCAGGCGTAGCAGCGGCAGCTGTGCCCACACAAAGACGATCGCCTGGCCCGGGCCGGTCCCCGGTATCGCCAATGGACAACTACGGTCAGGGCTATCCCCAAGGCGGCTACCAAAACGATTCCTTTGTCAGCGAAGGAGCTCCGTTGAACGGCCAGGGTGCATACGGCCGACCATACGCGCAGCAGGATGACTACCGAAGAGGTTCGCCAGGGCATAACCTATCACCAGTCTACAGCGCAAACGAAGGATACGCACCACAGCAGCCGCAGCAACAACAACAGCCCTACGGCCGCCGCTCGCCAGGCGCGCCCCAAGCATACGACTCCCACGACCAGCTCAGTCAATACAACCAACAACCCTCCTATAACCAACCGCAAACTTACGACCAGCGCGACTACTACGACGAACCCGACCACCGCCACCAATCCCCCTCCCCACCCGCCGCAAACCCCTACGGCTACAACAGCGATCCCACGCCGTTATACGATACCTACACGCCCCCACCAGCACCAGCAGCGTTGCAGCCCGGCTACGCAGCCTCAGAGTCAACAAACCATGGCTCTTTCACAAATGCGGCACCGGCATATCCAGGACAGAGATCGTATACGCCTGTGGCGGGGAGTGTGGGACAGCAGCAGCAGCCATATCGCGCTTTTACTCCGGGCGCGGAACAGCAACAGCAACAACAACCGCAGCAGCAGTATACTGGGGTTAGTAGGAAGCCTGTTGAGGGGTCTTTTAGGGAAATATAGAAATGAGATGTGTGTTTTCGTATGTAGAGAGAATGTGATACCCATACAAAGATTTTGTATCTTGTGCTTGGCGGTTTGTGAGCTGAATCTCTGCTAGCCGCTCGTGCTGCCTTTTCAACATCAAGGTCTTAGATAACACCGGTAAAGAAGAGAGCGTGCCATGGCCATACCATGCAGGTGTCCTATAGACCGGGCAACTCTGGTCGTCTTTGTCAGAGTTCAAGCTCTTAGCTCATTCGGTCAGGGTCTAATGGCCTTCTTCGCAATGCAACGACGAGAGGTAAAGTAAACAGCACCAATAACTTCGGCAGTGCACCTGAGAGAGGCAAGCGGGGCCGCGGCTGAGATGCGCAGCCAAGCGCAGCCTGTCAGCCTGGTGCGCAGCACATCAGCTCTTGTTCAGCCTGACGGTTCACCTAGCAGCCTGCTTCTACCTTTTCATTCTTTGCTTCCTCATCTTCATCAGACGATACTCCACAATTTGCTGACCCTCATACCTACATGACGCCAAATTGAGCCACACAGCAACCCCAGCCGCACCCCTGATCACCACGATGTTCAACTCTTGACCACGCTCTGGCTTACCAACAACTTCGCCATACGGCGTCAGCTTTGGCTTGAAGCTAGCTGTCCTACAGCTTGCGGGCAACAACCATGTCCAAAGCTCTAGCTAAAGCTGGATCGCTCAGTCCCGAAATTCGCCTCGCTCAAGCTGTCTCTGAATTTGAAGCCGACCTGTCAAGCGAACAAAAGTCCGCATTTCGTACGCTGAAGTCGCAGACGCTTTTGGCGACACCCACACCAAGCGATGTCATGCGACTGACCGCCGAGATTGACCGCCGCATGTCCAACAAATTTAGCAATCGATGCTTCGGTCCGCGCTTTACCAATTTTCTCCAAGCTGTTCAGCAGTTCGCTGCGCTTGGGGATATCGTGGTTGGAAGCTCACAGAACCCGATCGCGTGTGGCGTGTGGTCATTGGTACGCATGTCGATATTGGTGAGTAATTGTTGTTGTATCCATGTTCACGTCAGTTACTGACGGTACACAGTCGTTTGTGAGCGTGTCAAACCACGTAGAGAAGCTATCATCGATATTCATGGACCTTGGTCGCTCTTGTCCACGCCATCAGGAAATTGCTGTGCTCTACCCACTCTCTAAAAAGCTACAGGTCTACATCCTCGAATATTTCATCGTGGTCGTTGCTCTGTGTCATTACTTGCTCAGGTTCGGCCAAAAGTCCGCTCTCCAGCAGTTCACATCATCATTGAGTGGAGGGGACTTGAAAGCGTTTCAGTATGACCTCGAGAAATGGGCACACTCGATCGAAAAAGAGATGCAAGTCAGTGAATTTCAACAAAGCTCTGGGTTTAGAGCATTATCCCGATCAATGTTGGACTCCGCATTGTACCAACAGAAACTTGCGGCAAGAAAGCAGATGCTCGACCTCTGCTCCATGTACGATTACGAAACAGTTTGGAAGCAGACGAGGAAGGTCGGGAATACATTGCTCTTTACACGTTTCGACGAATATAGAGAGTGGAAGAATAGCTCACAAACTTGCACAATAGTATTCACTGGCAAGTTAGGATCGGGAAAGTCCGTGTTGCTAGCCAACGTAGTGGACGATCTCAGCCTCTCTACCGAAAGAGATCGACCCTTGGTAGCATACTTCTTCTGCAGACACGATCTACCCGAGAGTCTGCAAGCACGCACCATTCTTGGCTCACTAGTGCGACAAATGCTGCGGAGTATTGCTGACTTCGACAAACTTTCAGATGTATGCCAAGATGTACACACCACTGGAGACATTAACAAGATACTGGAAATGGCCCTCCAGGCTTATCCCCCTACCTATAAAACGTTTCTCGTGATAGATGGACTGGACGAGTGCAGCGAAGGAGAAATAGCAACGCTGGTACGAGCGGTGAGGGCCATCCAAGCAAAGCTAAAGGTCTTCGTTTGTGCGTCTTTCCGGGTAGAGCCAAACAAGGGTCAGTGAAATCCCTGTATGAAGTGTATGCGAGGAGAATACTGACCTGGTAAACGCAATTTTAGGTCTGCAGTCGATGACACGTCGCCTCCTGGATGCCCGCATAGTTCAGTTACCGGAGAGCAACCCAGACATCGAGGCCTTCATCGAAGCAGAGCTCTATCGTTGTCTGGACGAAGATCTTCTAAACATCAGAGATTCTACACTGATATTGGACATCCAAGATTCCCTCCTTCAACGCTCCCAAGGCATGTTCCTTTGGGCGGCTCTTCAGATCCAGTCTTTGTGTAGTATGAAGACTGATCATGCCATCCGCGAAGCCCTGGCGGACCTGCCCAAAGACCTTGCGCAAACCTTTTCCCGCATCTTACACAAATCAGGAGCCTCGGATCCGTTGCTCCAAGCAAAGATACTGGAGGTCGTATTGGCAGCTTACCGGCCCCTGACGACTGAGGAGTTGAGAGAAGCCTTAAGCGTCGATCCCGGACATGCAGTATGGGATCCGTCTAAGATGTTGAACGATGTGCAGTCAGCCCTAGCCTGCTGCGGATGTCTTCTTACTGTCGATGAGGAAGAGTCGACTGTCCGAGTCATACATCACAGCGTCAAGCAATACATTCTTCATGGTCTTGACGACGTGAAGTACATGGGTTTCTCTGTTGGAAGAGCACACGGAACGTTGGCGGATATCATTGTCACCTATCTTGGGTACGGTGTTTTCGAAACCCAACTTGAGAGAAACCATGCCCATCCGATCTTAGCACAAGCAGTGCCGTCTACGGTCATGCGAAACACCGTGGGCGGCTCGAGCTCCGCTCGGCAACTTGCTATGAAGCTTCTCAAGTCCAAGAAGCAATCCGCATTTGACTTGAGCAAGACGGTTGCTGAAGCTCGTGGTCATTCGTACTCTGAGCCCCAGGACGGATTCAAGTTCTTTGGTTATGCGAATACCAATTGGCAGAATCATATTCCATACGTTACAAGTCGAGCTGATGCTATCTGCGAACTTGCAACTACACTGATTCGGAGTCGATATCCAGAGCTGGAAACGACGAATGCAGATTCTGATTTGTATTGGAGCTTCGCTGCCACCACGCATCAAGATACAAGAATTCTCGAATTGCTGATGCTGCAATCTCAGAAGATGAAGCTGTGTGCACAAAAGACATTGGTGTTGCTAGTGAGAACCGGAGACAAGGACACTATCAAAGTACTACTGAACGCTGGCGTTGATGCAAATAGCAATCGTGACGGAGCACCTCCGATAATCGTTCTGGCAGCGAGCAATGGAGACAGTATCATGATTAAGTTCCTACTCAGCTTCAGTACGGTTGACGTCAATGCCGGCGACTGGTTCGGGGATACCGCAGTGAAAAAGGCCGTAGAGGTGGAAAACGAACACATCATCACGCTACTTCTCAGCTCTGACAGGATAGATGTCAACGTGAAGAACAATATCGGGAACACTGTATTACTGCAGGCCATAGACACTGGAAATGCGGGCATTATTAAGCTATTGATCAACGACGATAAGATTGACGTCAACGCGCAAAGCAATTCTGGGAGTACAGCACTACTCAAAGCTGTGAAATATGGAGATGAGAAGATCGTCAGACTGCTACTGGGTATCCGCAACATTGACGTCAATGCGAGAGACATAGACGGGAAGACTGCATTAATGCACGCGACGTGTAAGAGGAACAAGGACATGATGAAGCTGCTGCTTGGAAGCAAGAGCGTCGATGTTAATATCAAGGATGATACTGGAAGAACGGCGTTACTAGATGCAGCAAGTAAAGGATACAGCGACGTAGTCAAGCTGATGCTGACAAGCAAAAACATCGAAGTCAACACAGCGGACAATACAGGGTGGACGCCACTGATGTATGCAGCATTCCACGGAAAGATAGAAGTGGTCCGGCTGCTTCTTACTAGTCGCAAGATAGACGTCAATGTGAAGGGGCAATATCACGTTACGGCGTTGACTTTAGCGGTAAGCAAGAGTCATCAAGATGTTGTTGAGCTGCTGGTACTTTCACGCCACTAGGGTTAGCTACAATTCATATCGCACGTTGCTGAATACATATTACCAAATCCTGATAACTTGTCAGTCTCCAAGTCAACGTAGTTGTCCAGCTTAACCGTATTGTTGATAATGTGTTTGTAGAATGCATGCGACACAGATGGGTTGCTGAATACATACTACTAAATCCTGGTGAACTGTTAGTCTCCAAGTCAACGTAGACGTCTAGCTTAACCGTATAGTCAATAATATGTTCGTGTAATGCATGCGAAACGGATGGTAGTCACCTCTATCGGCAGCAAATGTCAACAGCAGGGGCTTGAGCAGCTTGCAACAAGCAGAAGTTTCCACGGCTATGGAAGACTTTTCAACATTCACGGTCACCACATTCGCGAACTCAGCGCGTCTTTAAGATACCATCAGTCTAAATACGTCAATCCGCTCGCAAACATCTGTGTTCTGTATCCACGCGCAGCTGTGAAGTCGCGTTCCAAGATGAGTCAACGGCCTTGGTTTCAAATGTATTCATGGACGATGCTGGTGGTGTCTACCTTCTCCTTCCCTTGAGACCTTGGCTAGGCCCTATGTCTCTTCCGGAGTCGTTTGTGATGTCGAAGCTAGTTAATCGAAGCTTGGATAGTCTGTTTCTAGCAAATGACCTACTTACCAGTTCAGGATATGACAGTCTGCTGGACTAGCTGTGACGACTTCGTGCGATACCCGGGTAGTATACCTAGATACTATCAAGACTACGGACTTGACAAACAAGAGTTTGGCGTCAAAATTGCACGAACAGACCCTTTGCACCTTTGATGTCGCGTGTCAAGTCGCGTTGCGAGGCCCATCCAACTGCCAAACCACTTTCTGCAAGGAAACAATCCAACAGATGTATTACCGCCTACATTAGTATAATAATGAAATTTGTGTAAGAGCCCAGGGTAATATAGACTCCTAGAAGGTAGGTGTTCAGTGGTTTTCTAGCCCGGCATACATCAAAGGTAGCTAGAATGCAAACCGCACTTGTCGCATACATACCCTTAAATGTTAACAAGTAAAGACTCCCGAAGACAACGTATACTTCTGCTACAAGTAATTTTCGAACGGGGGCTCAGAACTTATTGAATCAATTGATACTCCAGATACATCAACCTAATTGAAATTGCTTGTAAACTGTATGCGCGAGGAATTGTATAATCTTCCATCAGTGTCTCTCAGTGCATTGATCATGATGCGACCGTGGATCGCAACACCAAAAGTCAGCATGATAACTTCTATATTATCTGACGGCTAGAAAGTAGGACTTGCGACCCTAAAGAGTGTTGTTAGTTAACAATGTGTATTATCGCAGGTGCGAGCTAGACTGTCGACGTTCCAACTAAGGCCGGGACGTTCGCTGGCTCCAAAGACGGCATGTTGTAGGCAAACCTCTAATCATGTATTTTGATCATATTGGAAGTCTCGCAAATTACAACGATCCTTCGGGCGCTGAACTTGGTTACTGGCCGTAGAATGGTGATGTTGGCGATGTTGCGTATTGATCGAAGGGGTCTCTACGCCGCCACCTAGCGAAGTCGATCAATTAGAAAGCGCGTCGCATCACGTTCGCCGTCAGGAGCAAAGGTCTACACCACGAAATTTTCTTTATGGAGCTATGGCTAAGTAGCGACACGTTTTGTTAATAGGGGCGATAGTCTAAAGGAAATAACGTTGATGCACAAGGACGTGGTTTAGCTTATGGGCAAATGTGGTAAGGCCCGCTCTTACACGAACGACTCGTAAGAGCGGACGGTATTGTTACTTCTGCTATCGCAGAACTATAAGGGGACAGTTGAAATGCTAAAGGTATACCTTGCTTCTTTGCAGGACACATCGTACTAAAGAGATCTTAGATAGGCTACGCCGGCAAAAGAGATAGAGACAATTAGATTGGTGGAAAGTGTTTAAGGTACTCAATTCTAAGCGGCGATCGAATCAAATCATTCTGTATCACAAAGTAAGGCCTTCTCAAGCATTGTCGATTCTCCAACACTACTAGAGGTGACCAGATCGTATATCGCATTTTGCTGCATACACACTATCAAATGTGAAGAAGTGAGCAGTCCGTAAGATAATGTAGACGTCTACCCGTAAGATTTTTCAGGACCTAGTTGAGCTTAAGTAATACAAAGTAAATCTTCGAGACGCATTGTCGCTCTTTTGTCACTGCGACCGAGCTCGGTTTGACTGGCTGTCAACAAGCGGATAAGGTGCGCGCTAGTGGCATCCATCGTTCACAGATTGGGTATCCTGAAGAGTACTCGATCCGGCGCCCTTGGCTTTCTAACCCTGACATTCCAGAACACTCTTTGTATCATCTGTATATGTCGCTTGAAGTCGTGCCTAAACCAGTGATCCAACAGGACGATCGTCAGTGAGCGACCCGATGCGCCACTTAGCGACCGCCGTGCAATGTCGCTTGCAATCGACATCTCACAAAGCATAAAAACCTCTTCTTCTCGCCGCCCCCATGAGGAGTGCTCGTCTGCCCAGGAGCGCACCAAGATTCGTATGCTGATTTCGCACGTCTTTTTACGTTCCATTCTCTTTAAAGTGTGTCCTACGAATAGATGTAGGTCTTCGGATGTGCACTCCCTTGGGTTGCGGACTAGGCTATCACCGTCCGGGTCGAGGTTCTGCAGCGGTAGCGGTAGGATGGTTTCGTTATACCAAGATGCGAGGACGAGACTGATGAGTTTGGTCCCATTGTCGTCCTTTTGGGCTTGACCTGATGCTGTATAGCGTCGTTTGCTAGCCTCATGGAAGATGTCAGACATCAAAGCGAACACAGCATCCCTTCCAGTGAGTGATGGACCAATGACAACTTTAGGTGGTATAGTCATGTTGATTGCCCTCGAATATTCTTTAGCCTCTCCGAGAATCGTCTTGTTCAACTGAAGTACGGCGGTCGGCACTCGATATACTGCCTAGGTGCAGATACCTGGCGTGGGGAATACACTTTTGTAAACTCGCTCGGGCAAGTAATCGTAGATATAACAGCGCAGTTCGGGTGGTAAGGCCATAAACAAAGACTCTTGTGTACTATGCATGGTTGATGCGGCCATGGGTGGGCTTTGGGGGTAGGGTTGTGGTTTGGGCGGCGTTGTTTCTTGTGTGCAGTGTCGCTGGTGTTGAAGGCGGCGGTGAGGACGGAGATGAAGAAAAGGACGCGGGTTTATACTTATGAGAAAATTCACCATTGCATTTATGTGGCTGACCCATTGGAAATGCTCGATACCAAAATTACAAGTTTGTTGCTATGATCCGTGGTTGGCCGATGTTGTTCGCGGGCGAAGCAGCACCAATCCATGGATCAGGATTACCATCGACTTGACTGCGATCATACCGAGCGGAACGAGTCACTTACATCTTGTGCAACACCAATAAGCTAGGCAAATAGACAACTCAGGAATGAGAGAAATCGCAAGTACCCAGGTGTAATGCTCACTGAGCAGATGGTTTCCCAGCTATTCTAGGGGGCGCTGAATAGTTTTGCAAACTGGGAGGGCTGCCATGCTGCCAGTGTTGAGAAGTTTCGGAACTATCATACGTGGTAGAAGGCCTTACAATAGGAGATTATACTGCGGCGGCTTGTTCGAAGACAAGGTGCCCAGGTGAACTTTCGAGGTGGGCTTATGATGGTGTGACTTCTGATTCCGAAGTTCCGAACCTTCGGGAGATTGGCAGCCAATCAACACGTGCTTTATAATCGTGTCAAATTGCCCCGGAATTCGCCGCGGATGACATAGGCTTCGGCGAATTTAGTGACAATGCACCAGCCGTACCTTGCCATCTATTCACTCAACACACGCGCCTTACCAAGTCCACTCGCAGCACTCCTTGGGCCTCTCGCACTTTGATCATGTCGCTGCCTCGAACCACAACTGCCTTTGCGCGCTCCAGCTCGACATTCCTACGATCCGCCGCTCCCTCGGCTACTCCCCGCAGATGCCCGCAATGCGCGCGCACTTTCGCCTCGTCGATACCGTATCGGCAGTCAGCTAAGCGTCAGATGCAGACGGCGACTGCATACCATCCTTTGTCGCTATATCCCCAGCCGCCACCAAGGAATGCTGGCGTACCCGACACATCGATAGCAGGTGGAGCAGCCGAGGCAAACAATGCGAAAACCCCACAACTGCCACCGCAAGAACACATCCCCGCGACACCTTCCGAGCAACCGAACGTGAGCATACCCGAAGGCGAAGCACAGAAGCCACAACAGGCAGCGGGTGCCAGCAAGCCGTTGCGGCCGCGTCGCTACAACTTCGGGCCACGGAAGGCGACCATCAAGCTATCACAGTCGGCAGTATCCCACCTACGTGAACTTCTCGAGCTACCAGAGCCCAAACTTATCCGAATTGGCACAAAGGCAAAGGGTTGCTCGGGGCTGGCATATCACTTGGAGTACGTGGACAAGCCAAGCCCGCTGGACGAGCAGGTTGAGCAGGATGGCGTCAAGGTCCTGATTGACAACAAGGCGCTGTTGAACATCATTGGAAGCGAGATGGACTGGCTGGAAGACAAGCTGAACGAGCGCTTCATCTTCAAAAACCCCAACATCAGTGAGTTTTGAGACAATGAGCCACCAGAGACCAAGACTAACATCTTCTAGCGGAGCAATGCGGCTGCGGCGAGTCCTTCAGCGTATCATGATACCCTTACGATTCAATCACTATACCTTATAGAAGCATTACCGGCGTTGCATCTTCGGCGTTACATCTACATATGACATAATTCGAATATCATTACCACCACCGGTAGCACGATTGCTACTTGGCTTCTCCACGTACCTGCAATACATTCGCGACACTACCATTGCAAGTTCAATAACAGCGCTGTCTGGAGACCATCACACCTGCACGAGTCGGCAGTATACTTGCAGCACTGGGTGCCAGTGGCATCCATCATTCGTTACTGACACCACGTCTACATCTTCCCTGGCTCGTAGTCGAAGACCTTGACACCATTCGCCACCTCTCCAGCAA